AGTACATTGAATGAGTAGGATTCCAACAAGTGGGATTCCAACAGAAAACAGCTATATTCCATTCCTTCACTACCTGGGAAAACCAGCTATGTGGGCACTTCTCTACCCATTGGGCAAAATATTAGGCAGACTGCTCAGATAATAAAAAGTCTTCTGATCACCTTTTGTCCCAGGAATGGACTTACGTATATAAAATGACCAAAATGCTATAATAATCAGCATTTTGAACATCCCTTTCCTAAATAGGGCCTACCTGTAGTGGGAATTGGGGAGAAGTATGGCTTCTATGGTCCTCCCCCACTCACCAGATTGCCTCTCGCTCCTCCAGAATTGGGGGTGGAAGAGGAGGGATGAGAAATCAGTAATGGATATAAAAGCTCTTACTTGACTAGTGACCTGTAATTTGGCAGGTTTCCTCTCACTATAGCAAATATTTAATGCTGATTCCCTCTGCGCTTGACGAATGTCTTAAGCTATCACTCTTCCTTAGGAAGCATACATGAGGTCTTCAAACATCTCCCACCACCCACAGTATTTCTCACCTGCCTTCTTGCCAAGCCTCTTTTGGTTGGCCTCTCATTATCCCCTCCTAATCCATGGGTTTGGGGCCTCCACTCATACTCGAGATGTGTTCTGAAGGATGAGAAGGAGCCAGTGTTGGACCAGTGAGGGGAAAGTATTCCAGGAAGAAGACACAGCAAATACGAAGAGTCTAGCATGTTTGAGGAAGAGAGAGGAAGCCTATGTGTGTGTAGAAAAGAGAAGAGGTCCAAGGAATGAACCCTGGGCACAGCAGCAAGATGAGGACAAAACAACAAAGGAAATTAAGAAGGAGCAGCTGGGAGAGTATAGTGCTTTGGAAGCTGTCTTCATTGGCTCAACTGCCATAACAAAATATGATGGACTGGGTGGCTTAAACAATAGAAATTCAGTTCTAAAAGTTCTGGAGGCTGCAAAGTTCAAGATCAAGATGCCAGCTGATTTGGTTCCTGGTGAGGCCTCTTCCCCTGGCTCACAGAGGGCCGCCTTCTTGCCGCCTCCTCACATGGCCTTTCCTCTGCTCTCACTCTCTCTCCTCTTCTTATAAGGAAACCAATTCTATTGGATTAGAATCTCACCTTTATGACCTCATTTAACCATAATTACCCGTTAAAAGGCCCATTTCAAATATCATCACAATGAGAATTAGGACCTCGACATATGAATTTGGGAAAGACACAATTCAATCCATAGCAGAAGCCAGTGAAAAGCATGTTCCAAAAAGAAAAGGAAAGATATATCCACTCTATTATGTGCTCCTAATTGGTCGAGTAATGTGAGGACTGAAAACTGACCATTCGATGTAGCTACACAGAGGTCATTTGTGACATTTGATAAAAGGTGTTCCAGTGCCAAAGCCTTATTGGTGTCAATTCAAAAGAGCGTGAAAGGAGAGAAGTAAGTGCTGTAAAATTAAGAACCAGAATGATAGCTAGGGGGAGGTGGAGTCAAGAGAAGATTATTTTGAGTGAGAGAAATGAAAGCATGTTTATGTGTTGTTGGGGATGATCCACTAGAAAGGCAAACGATATTACAAGAGAGGGGGAAATACTAGAGTAACCTCCTTGGATAAGTGGAAGGGAATGCATTATAGTGGACAAGTGGAGGGATGGACGTCGGGCAGAAGCACAGACAGTTTATTCCAAGCAATATCAGAAGAAAAGGTAGAGTACTATTTATGAGCACAGATGCAAGTAGGTGAGTAGATGGTTTGGTGAGAACTTGTCAAAATTCTCTTCTGATTTCTTTAA